TTATGGTTATTTGAAAATAGGATATTTAGGCAGAATAACAATTAGGTACGGTGCATATCCTTATATTTGACCAACATAACTTCTACGTATTATGTTATCCTAGGGATTTGGCCATTATAACATCTATGTATTATCTCTTCCTAGACTATCGGGCATCATAACTCTTATGCATAATATTATAGCTTACAAGTAGGCATAGTATCTATAGCTATATTATCCTAAGACTTTAAGCTTTATAAAATGATTTGATATTTATAGATATAAATATATTTTGATAAAACCATTTGATAAGTATGTATTCCCCCTGGTAAAACATTTAAAATAGTGAAATTGGGTCCGTGAACTCACTCTAGTAGCATATTCTGAAGCATCCAAGCCATTGCATTTGAAGCTTCGCGCCATTGAGAGGACTTCCGAAATAGCTTGATAGATATAGTGAGTGTTTGGGATGAGAAAATTATAAAGTGAGCACCTCTATTTGTAGTGGTTGTGTGTGAGACGCACTTCATGCGCGACGTGCACTTGCTTCGTGGCTCCCTACTGAGTTTGTCACGTGTCACACTTCTGATGGTCCATGTCTCCCTAATCTCGACGAATTTGGGTGTCAGACGTGCGCAATGGTCATGACGCGCACTTGGCATGCACCTCTAAATCTTTTATAAAAATTCACATCTTCCTTATATGATTCTTGTTTCTTACGCTCTTTATATATTTGTGTAACTCTCTACTATTACTACAACTTTCCTTAAGGTCACGTTGCCAAATTTTGACTTTCATTTTTAACCCATATTTTATATTTTTCTAAAAATCGTATCTTCTTCATACGAACTTCGTTTTTGACTTTTTTCTTTTCAAAGTCCTTATCTCTCGGGTTACTACGATTTTTTTTCTTTTTGTGACATTAGCCGAAACTCAACTGATTTCTTTTATGTTATTTCGATGTTAATAGTGTTATTAACGCGGTTGATTTTTTTATCTTTTATAAAATCATAACTCCTCCAATCGGAGTCAGATATTTACAATGATTATATCATCGGGATCACCTTGTTGTGTACTTTCTAAATACACTGAACATTATTAAAGGTGATATAACTCTTTGGTCACTCATTTTGACCATATTATTATCATTTAACTGATCATATTTTCCTTCAATATGAAAAGTTATATCATTATCATCGGTTGATATTAATCTCTAATGACGATTAGTGACAGTTCCCAATTGTCACAACCTCTTACGATTAATGTAGTCGATCATCGAGAGGGATCCATTGGATATAGTTTGGAGTTTGGCGTTCATCACCATAAGCAGTAATTGTCTCGATCAAGCTTAATGTTGATCGGAGAAAGTTGAAAAGTGATGGCACCGGAAGTGGAAGTTGCGTGTGCCAAGAGAGAAGCGCCGGAAAAAGCCACTAGAGAGCAGCAAGAGGCAAGAATCCAAGAAAAAAAATTTATACGGCTCTTGATACCATATAAGATGTCTAATTGAACATCTTGCTTTGATTATTATTAATATTATTATTATTATAAGGCCCATGAAATCTATCCTGTTCTTCAATCGTTTCTTCATTCTTGTTGGTGCCGAGTTCATACAGATAAGTTTCTCAACATAAAGTCTCCATCTTTGATGATCGAATCTGTTTTAGGTGGTGACTCGTGATGGTGGAAGGTGGTGACTCCGGTGTTCAATATGACCAAGGTAAAATAAATTCTTGAAATATGAATTGAGATTTCAAATTTACAACCGTTACAAATGTAAATTTAGCCGTTTTGAAACAAAATTATGGAAATAAGTGAATGTCTCTTACCAATTTATAACTTTCCCTAATTATTACAAAAAAAAAATTTAAAAATTAGCCGTTATGAATCCAAAGGTTTTACTACAAAATCCCAAGATGAAAACCAAATCTGTGATTAAATTTGTTCAAAGATATCAATATATGAGTTCCAATCGATGTGCTGTTTGCAAATATTTTAGGCGAAGATGTCCTTCAAATTGCATTTTCTCACCATATTTCCCTCCAAATAACCCTCAAAGATTCACTTGTGTTCATAGAATCTATGGCGCCAGCAACATCGGGAAGATGCTCGAGGTGACAATCTTAAACATAATCTTGTTCATATCGTAAATTTTTAATGTCATTTGTCAAAAAGAAAATCTAACTTTTTGTACATGGTTTTAACTTTTAATTAGGAATTAGCTGTGGAAGATCGTGCAATCGCTGTGGAGACGGTGTATTATGAGGCTAAGTGTAGAGTACAGGATCCGGTGTATGGGTGTGCAGGATTAATACCATGGTTGCAACAAGAATTAAATATCGCACAAAGTGAATTAGCAAAAACTCGAGCCCAAATTGCACTTGTTTCTGCTAATTATGTTGCATTTCAACAAAATGATGTTGATGATGATCCTTGTAATTCTTGGTTTTCATAGAAATTGTTTATAGTTTTGAGCTTTTGAAATATCATTGTACTTTCACTAAAACATCCTACTTTCATTTCTTTTATTACATCTACATCATTGTTCTTTCATTTTTTTTTATCATCAAGATATCCTAGTTTGAAAAATCTACCTAGTTATAGCATTGTATATGGATGACATTGCTATAATTAAGTAGATTTTTCAAACTATAATGTTGTAATATGAAGAAATGAAAGTAAGATGCTATAGTAAAGAAACCAACAAAAATACATTTTTATTTCTTGCGTTTTAACACTTTTTTTATAAATCTTTTGTGAATTGTGAATGAATCTCTTGATAAGTAGGATGCAATTTCTTTTTGATGTATTATTTTCTTTGTTAGCTTCTTGCTAGTTTGTTTTTAATAAAATTTTGCCGTTCTTAAAAAAATTTAAAAAAAAAATTCTTACCAAATTTGTTATATCTTGTTAAACCAATAATAAAAAAATTGATTGTTAAATACCACAAAAACAATAATAATAATAATAACAATAACAATAATAATAATTTGATATTTTGTTAAATACCACAAATTTTAGTAATTTAATCACTTGATAAGTAAATGTCCCACCCCACCACGTTGAGATCCCTTCTGTTCAACGAATCATTCTCTTCTTCTTCTTAGACCATTTTCAACCCATCTCCATTTTTCCCCCATAAATTGAGTAAAAAATGGAGTAAACAGTGTTTCATCTCCAACCCTACTCCATTTTCTACCCCATTTTTTACCCAAAAAAGTATATTCTTAGAATATTCAATTTTTATAACTTGTATATATTATCAAATACACCCCTATACTAATTAAACTCTATATTTATGATTAATTAATATAAATTAGTATATAACATGATATTATAAATATTAAATATTGCATTTAAATTATAATTAGTAAATACAATAAACTAGAAATATATAAAATAAAAATTAGAGGGAGTAAAATTGACAACAAAACTTCACCTCCATTTTTGGAGATATGAATAGTATTCCCCCATATATGGGGGAATACTATTCATATCTCCAAAAATGGAGGTGAAAATGGGGTAGAGTTGGAGAAGAATGGGGGAAGAAATGGGGTGAAAAATGGAGTTTGGGGGTGGGTTGGAGATGCCCTTAGAGCTGCTGAAACCCTAAATTTGACTCTGAGAACATACGTCTCAATTCCCTGTTACTTTTCAATATCAATCTCATAATTTCACCTGATCTTTTTTGTTTTATTGTTCCATTTCCGATTCTACCACATCCGGTTGTTAGTATCTTCCATCGTATTTCCGTCTCTCTGTATTTGGATTTTGGCGCGAATTTTCGGTTGTCCCAAATAGCTATGGAATTTATAAATTTATCAAATGAATTGTGTGTGCCGGCTATATTTTGGATTTTACATGATGTTTGAAGCTCTAGTGGTTGCCTTCTTCATAGCAAGATGAAGATATTATGAATTTGGTTCTGAAGAGAAACATCAAAGAGTTCTTCTCCAACAAAGCTCTTCAAGCTGTCGTCATCATCATCCTTTTCACTGTATGCTTATTTATCGTCTTTTCATTTTTATGTAATACATTACTTGTGCACAGTATGCTATTTTTGCTTATATGATTTACTGAATTCTGAGGAGAATTATAATAGCTTCTTTGAACATATGTCTTTATGAAAGCGATTGTAGATGATAGATCATTACGTTATTGGTGACTTGTTAGATGATCTTTGATGTCAAGGAAGAAAAAAGTTCATTACCAAATTATGCTAGTAATAAGTTACTAGCATGTAATTTGGTATAAGTTCATTACTTATCTATGGTCATTACTTATCTTTCTTGAGTGATTGTTATAAGTTCATATCAAATTATGGAGGTCCTATCACCTATCTATAACAATTCTAACATGACATGTAAATTGTAATTACCACCATTGTTTTAAGTTGATATGAAGTTATTGGGCTTTGGGCTTGGATATTCATTACCAAAACCACTTTTGCTCTTTTTAGCCCTTTATTTATAAGGTTAAAGTTGAAATTGTCCAACTCTAACTATTTGCATTTTCCTAGAATGGTCACTATTCTTAAACAAAAGTTTTTTTTTTGTACAATTATTACCGGTTATATAGCAGGTTTAGCTATAGCCAATCATAATGGTATAGAGAGGACATTTTTTGTTGAGGGACTTTAGGTGTAAAAACAAGATAATGATCATATTCGGATAAATACAAATCCTTTTTTTTTTCATATATATAAAAAAGTTACCAGGCATATTTTAACTTTAGTTATTTGTTGTGGTATAAGAACACCTGTCTATTAACCCCATTCAACGAACCACTATTGTCAAAAATCAAAATGATGAGTTATTATTCTATCTTGTGGGGGCAAATGGGTCTTATCTTCTTTTTTATGTTATATTGTTACTAGAACAATAGGGTCAAATCATTATCCATGTTAGCATAGTAGTTAGTACAATAAACAACCATCAAATCAATTTCAATTATCACATAAATGTCTCGTGGTCCAATTTCCAAAACCCACAAATAGAAAGTTACAGGCTTTAAACTCTATGAGCTGTTCTGATTTAAGATCTGAATGACTGATAACTGTAGGAGGGAACCTGTTTCAGCCACGTGTCATTCGTTCATTGAATAAAAAGGCTGCGACATCTATCACCAGGGATCATCCACTCACTATCTTTCCATATTTTTCTATATGCCTAATGCAGTAATAATGCCTATGTATATATTTTAGCCATATAAATTTCTATTTTTTGTTAAAAAAAAGTAAATCTTGAAAATTTTAAGTTTGTCACTAAAAAAGTTTAAATCATGCATGAAATAGGAAATAATTGTATACACATGAAACTCCTGTTGAAGTGTTTGTGGGCCTGTCTTTTTTCACATGCAAGAATACATATATACATGATTCATAGCAAAAGACATTCTGTCCCATGATGA